TACATTTGCGCTGGTGCAGATAGCTTTCCAGAGGGCATTCGACAGCTGTCTGGGAGGCATTGTCGCCTCCTCACCACATATTTTAACCTATAAAGCCTGCACCACTGCATGCAGTAGCAGGGTGGTTCGGCATGATCCCATTCACTTGAATGGCTGGTGTTCATAGACGGTACTGCCTGCTAAGCGAGACAGGCGGTATAATTTTTGCTGCAGCTATTAAGCAAGGCAGTACGAATGTAGCATGTGTACATCCCCCCATCGTGTAAATTGTTTAAACTTTCACCCATCAAGTAGTTTGGATTAGTAGACCAGGAAGTATACAGTATATTGATGGGGAATGCTATAAATATTTGGCTCATAAGTATTTAGAACATTACCATGCCTAAGATTTAGATTTCTTTGGGGTCCACCATCACATTTACTTCCATTTATGTCCTTTTGTATCCATATATGCAAGACTATATATGAAATGGAGACACCTGTTCTGGTTACAATTGTCCACGAGGAGTACTACTCTCACTTTGTAGAGAGTTGCTTTTATTTCCTGTTGTGTCTTCAGTACAGATAGTGAAGCGAAACCTCCTCTTCAACCAGATGCAGACAACAAAAAGCAAATTGATGGCTTTTAACTCTTTCCTGCTCTATCCTGAATTAGCGTCCCAAACATTTTTTTTTTTTTAAATAAAGATGACTTTATTAGGTAAGATAGGATTGATCCAAGAGAGTCACTTTACAATGCAAACCATCACGTCACCACGCAATGTCATGGGATTTATGGTAGGGATTTATTGTACAATTGCATAGTACATTACGTGTATTAACCACTTGCCCTCCAGAGGATTTAACCCCCTCCCTGACCAGGCTATTTTTTGTGATACGGCGCTGCATTACTTTAACTGACAATTACACTGTCATGCAACGCTGTACATAAATTAAAGTAATTTTTTTCCCCCACAAGCTTTCCTTTGGTGGTGTTTGATCACCTCTGCATTTTTTATTTTTTGCGCTATAAACAAAAAAAAGAAAAATTTTGAAAAAAAAACCCCTATATATTTTTGACTTTTTGCTATGAAACATATGAATAAAAAAATGTAATAAGTCAAATTTTCTCATAAGTTTAGGCCAAAATGTATTCTGCTACATGTCTTCGCTAAAAAAAAATACCAATACATGTAAATGAATTGGTTTACATGAAAGTTATAGCGTCTACAAATGGCGGTATACATACTGGAATTTAAATTTTTTTTTATACTAGTTATGGCGGTGATCAGCGACTTATAGCGGGACTGCAGCAAGCATTCTGATATTGGGTGGGAACTAACTGCCACTGACATCCCCAGTGACACTAATACAGTGATCAGTGTTAATAAAAAGCACTGAACTAATGACAATGGGCAAGAAGGGGTTAACATCTGGGGTGATCAAAGGGTTAACTGTGTTGTGTGTGTGTTTCACATTGTGCACTGTTTTACTTGGGAGACATGCCGTTTTGTACCGCTTTGCTGTGCAGAGAGATACAAAACAGCATGTCCATGCTGACAGGAGAGAGCTGTGTTGTTTACACACAGGTCTCTCCCCTGTCAGCTTTACCCGACAATTGCCATGTGCAGGCCGGGAATTGCTGGCCTGGACCCGGTGATTGCCATCCCTAGCCGCCAATAGTGGTGCGCACGTGCCACCTGCCCGGAAATGTGAATCATGTATATATATATATTATATATATGTGAATTTGCGTAGCCCTGCCGCCCTATAGCAGTACATCTGCTATAGGGTGGTTGGAAAGTGGTTAATAATGAATCCCTACTCATTTCTGGTAGGGCCAGCCTTTACACCCTTTGTACCCCTGAGAGAATCCTGAAGTACAGGATAGCACAATCAGCACAATAGAAAAGACTATATAGTGCACAAAAATATACTCAAAAAACTCTAATTATTATTAAGTCTGGAGAGCCATTGCCTCCAGACTGTTTAAAATGTATCTCCACAACCCTGTGCTGAAAGATATCACTCTAGGGCCGCATCCATCATGTGTTCATTTATCATTGCTTCACCGAAGGGGGATCCATAGATGTCCAATGTCATAGAAACGATTTTCGTGCCTGTAATAAGGATCTCATCACAACTGTCTGGGTAGCCTCATTGATATTCATATCCTTCAGGATGCGCACAATACAAACTCTGGGATTTAGGATTAATGGTGACCAAATATTGAATTAAGTGTGGTGACTACTGGATGTCCAATTTCGGCAGAGCATATAGATGAGATCCCCATTAGTCCCCAACATTTTTGCTAATATTTGTTCTCTGAAATTTTCACATTTTAGAAACAATTTTATGTCTTGTTTCCTATTTTTGGGTAGGGTTTAGCCTACATATTGAGACAAAACATATTTAACCACTTCAGCGCCGTAAGGCTTTACCCCCATCATAACCAGGTAATTTTTTGCTATTTAGCACTGCGCTACTTTAACTGGTAATTGCGTTGTCATGCAACACTGTACCCAAACAAAAATTTTATATTTTTTATTATGTAAACCAGGGCTTGAAATTTCCACTCGTCTGCTCGCCAATGGCAGATCTGTGAGTGAACAACAAAGTACTACAACGTGTTATCGGGAGGGGGGGGGTGTATGTACGTGTACATGTGTGTGTTTGTGTGTGTCTGTGTAGGCATGTACAATTGTACATGTGTCTGTGTGTATGTACATGTGTGTATCTGTACATGTGTCTACGTGTATGTACATGTATGTGTGTGTACATGTGTCTGTGTGTACGTACATGTGTGTGTGTGTATGTACGTACATGTGTCTGTGTATGTATGTACATGTGTCTGTGCGTGTGTACATGTGTCTGTGCGTGTGTATTTCTGTGTATGTACATGTATCTGTGTGTATGCGTGCCTGTACGTGCCTGTGTGTGTACACATGTGTCTCTGTGCGTGTGTGTACATGTTTGTGTGTCTGTACATGTCTGTGTGTGTGTGTACAGATGTCTCTGTTTGCGTGTGTTTGTTGGTGGCGAGTAACTCTAAGGCCTGGCTAGTAGCTCAGGACTTGAAATTTTAAGCCCTGATATAAACAAACAAAAACAAAAAGACCACACATTTTGAAAAAAAAAAATATTTCTTACCTTCTGATATAAAACATATTCAATAAAAAAAAATTGAAACAATCTAATTTCTTCATAATTTTAGGCCAAAATGTGTTCTGCTACATGTCTTTGTTTTAAAAAAAAAAATCCCAAAAAGTGTATATTGATTGGTTTGCATGAAAGTTATAGTTTCTTATACTTACATTTTTTTCTTTTATACTACTTATGGTGGTGACCAGCGATTTGAAGTGAGTGGGGACTAACTAACTTGACAATGACATCTCCAGTGACACTAATACAGTGATAATAGTATATACTGTCACAGTACTAATGACACTTGACTGCGAAGGGGTTGACATCTCAGGTAATCAAGGGGTTAAGTGTCTGCCTAACAAGCGTTAATGTGTGTAATGTGTGTTGCTCTTTAGTAAATCTCTCTTTGTTTCTTCCCCTTGCTTTGCATGGAGAAGAAACAGAGAGATCCTTCTCTCTGTACAGAGCTCCATGTTGACTGTCAACACAGGGCTCTGTGCTGTGATTGGACACAGCCGATCCGCAGTCCCAGCCATGAATCATTGGCTGGGGCCTGCTGACCAACTCCGCTGTGTACAATCACAGAAGGAGTCGGCGTGCAGGGCCATGCGCACATGGCTTGTACCCCAAAGAGCCCAGCGCCATACAGGTATATTGCTGTGCTTGTACGGGCAGCGCTTTGTGGGCGGGCAGTCCACAAGTGGTTAATACAACCCCAATTCTAGGAAAATTGGAGAGCTTTGTAAATTCTGCATAACAGAATGCAATGATTTGCAAATATCATATTTTATTCACAATAGAAAACATATAACATTTTTAGACAGAGAAAATTACCATTTTAAGAAAATAAAAAGGTAATTTTTTATTTTTTTGGCAGCAACACGTCTCAAAAAAGGTTGGGACAGGGCAATGAAAAACCTGACAAACTACAGTAAGTGGGACTAACAAGGGCTGGAAGAACTAATTAGGTTAACTGGCAACAGGTCAGTAAAGTATTTGGGTATAAAAAGAGCATTTTAGAGAGCCAGAGTGCCCCAGAAGTAAACATGGGCAGAGATTCACCAATCTGTAAAAAGCTGCGTCTAAAAATTGTCAGCAGCAAAGTGATGATGGGATCATTCCTGTTTTCTGGTTTTGGTCTTTATAGTTTTGAGCCACTGGAGACTCCGGAGTATCAAAAAAGTAAATTAATAAAAAGGTGGGGTGCGGGGGGGGGTTAATGCCCTTCTGAGTATTTTTCATTGAGTGTAGTTCATTAAGTAAAGGGCTTCCTCGGGACTTCACCTCCAGGCAGTAACCTTTTTAGTTTACGGTCATAAGGACTGTTTTTTTCACATTATGAATGCTTATTTTTCGGAAAGGCATGTAGTGTAAGGTTCAAAGGGGAACCTTTAGTGATAATACACAATGGTGGGAAATGTTGAAGCTTGTATATAAGATCAAAGATCTGTATGAATGCAAGTCCTGTATTTGGTGGAATGTCAGCCTTTTTCACATATATACAGTATATACACAGTCGAATATCTGTCTGCAGGGACTCCGAATACAAATTTTTCCAGCATACGGGATGTGTCTGCTGAGTGGAAAAGTAAATGGGAAGATAATCAACATAATTGTTCTGCCATGATAATTAGATTGCTAATGGGTCATTATGAACAACAACTGGCACGGTAAATGATACAGGAAAGGTCACTGAATCATTGACTCTATTTAAGCAAATGGCACTGTATGAGAAAAAGAAGATGGAGATTTTTCAGTTCGAGAGCCTTAATAAAAATATATTGATAGATAAGCTAAAAATATTAAGGAGTGATAGTGCTTAGTGCAGAGACTGCGGACACAGTACAGGATATGGACCAGAGACTGCGGACACAGTACAGGATATGGACCAGAGACTGCGGACACAGTACAGGATATGGACCAGAGACTGCGGACACAGTACAGGAGATGGACCAGAGACTGCGGACACAGTACAGGAGATGGACCAGAGACTGCGGACACAGTACAGGAGATGGACCAGAGACTGCGGACACAGTACAGGAGATGGACCAGAGACTGCGGACACAGTACAGGAGATGGACCAGAGACTGCGGACACAGTACAGGAGATGGACCAGAGACTGCGGACACAGTACAGGAGATGGACCAGAGACTGCGGACACAGTACAGGAGATGGACCAGAGACTGCGGACACAGTACAGGAGATGGACCAGAGACTGCGGACACAGTACAGGAGATGGACCAGAGACTGCGGACACAGTACAGGAGATGGACCAGAGACTGCGGACACAGTGGAGATGGACCAGAGACTGCGGACACAGTACAGGAGATGGACCAGAGACTGCGGACACAGTACAGGACAAGGACCAGAGACTGCAGACATAGTACAGGAGATGACCAGAGACTGCAGACATAGTACAGGAGATGACCAGAGACTGCAGACATAGTACAGGAGATGACCAGAGACTGCAGACATAGTACAGGAGATGACCAGAGACTGCAGACCTTTGGGGAGCAAAAGGGGGGGAGTGGGTACTCGAATTTGACAGGTACCCGCTCCCACTTCCGTGGAGTTGTCCTCCCTCCCCATCTTCTGAGAAATGTGACAGGTCCCAGAAGACTGCCAGACCATTCAGAAAGTGCAGCGCTTCTCGTGCATGCGCAGTGGGCACCCGGCTGCAAGCTGTCACAGCCGGGTGCTCACAGTAAAGATGCCGGCGCCAGGGAGAGAAGACCGTGAGGACACTGCTGGACCAAGGAACAGGTAGGACCAAGGAGCAGTTTCAGCTGCACAGAAGAGCCGAGCGGCCGGCCCAGTATTCTAACGCGGTGGCGGCGGGAATACCGGGCCGGCCACTCCATATTTGCTCCATAAGACCCACAGACATTTTCCCCCATTTGGGGGGAAATGTCACGTACCTGGTTGGGGAGCCTGATGTGGAGAGGAGGCGTCCTCTTACTACTCCCGCTCAGAGCCCGATAGTGGGAACAGAGGGCGCAGAGCCAGGAGTGGCACAAGTGCCGGGTGGGTCTGGAGCTGGTGGTAGGCAGCTGAAGACCCAGAAGATCCGGATGCAGGTCAGGTGCAGATACAGGAACGTGGGTGCAGCAGCAGGCAGGTATGGCGACAACCAGGATGCAGACCAGGAACGGACACAGGAGCGTAGGTGCGGCAGCAGGCAGGTAAGGCCAGGTGCAGATGCAGGAACGTGGGTGCAACAGCAGGCAGGTATGGTAGTGACCGGGGTGCAGGAGCGTAGGTGCAGCAACAGGTAAGTATGGCAGCAACCAGGATACAGGCCAGGTGCAGATACAGGTATGTATGTGCAGCAGTGTCAGACAAGCTGGGTCAGGATCAATCGGGCGGATCAGGTACAAGGGAGCAGGCAAACGGATAGTCAGGGATATGCCGGGTTGGTGTAGGCGGAGTTCTTTCTTAGTCAGGGTCAGATCAGATACAGGCAACAGAATCAGGTTATGGAGTGCAGAACGTTATAGGCTAAACTGTTCTGGGGATTTAAATAGCCTGCCTTTCGGCTCCCACGCCTGCGCACTCGCCGCGGCCAGAAGGGATCCGGCACTGACGCACGGCTGTACAAAGGGATCCCTGACAGGAAAAAAGTGCATCTTATGGGGCGAAAGATATATAGTATCTACGGATAGACAAATAAATCACTTAAGGTTTATTTTTGCCTATTTTGTTCTGAGGGATTTAAAGGGATAGCACACTACATGGTTGTAGTTTACTTAAGATAAAAATATACTTAGTGGGACAGGCAGGGGTGGACTGATAACTCATGGGGCCCTCGGGCAATAGGGGATCATGGGGCCCATGTGTCCTTGCCCACACTCAAAGCACACCCAAAAAAGCGTATATAAAAAAGGTACCAGGGGCATTTCATGGGGCCCCCTACTGATTCTGGGCCCTAGGGCAGTGCCCGAGTGCTTGAATGGTCAGTCCGCCCCTGGGGACAGGTTTATATACACTGCTGCAGAGCTTACAGGTGGAACATTGTAGACACCTACAGATTTAAGAACCCTAAATATAGCACCACCAGAGGTAATTCCGCTGTTGATGAAATCAGTCTATTAGATGTGGAAGCACAGGAAAGGTCTAACACCAGAACTGAAAAGTGGCCAAAGAAAAACAAGTTTGGGTTTGTATTACCATTATCACTGAAAGTGAAAGTAAAGGAAAATCCCACATTTTGGATTATCCCCAGAAAAGTAATAGAAGTGAAATCTTCTAATGGGGACACTAGTTCTGGTGACCTGGGGGTCCCCAGGGGATTCCCTTAATTTGTAGGTATTTACTCTCACTTACTGTTTTGGACAGCAAGTGAAGGAAAATCTCCCAAATGGAACACAAATGGCAACAAAATACACAGAGGGGTTATAGCCCTCCATTACTGTATCCAAAATGAAAAAAAAAAAAGCTTTGCCTATAGTACTACTTTAAAGTGTCTGGATGTTACTAAATACTATTTTGCCTTTGTTTTTTATTCTGTGATTTTAGATTTTAATTTCTAATGAGATGGTCTCATGAGCTTGTGTGCTGGCCCTTGTCACTTTGAGTGTTTTAATGCAAATGTATATGACTACGTGGTAACACATATATTTTCATACTCCATTTCCTATATACAATGTGGTATTGGGGAGATTATACTCATGTGGTAGGTGCTTTTTCGAATGCACTAATCCAAACTGTATTTTAGGGCATGGCAGCTCACTTTTATTGAGCAAATGGAAAGTTCATATACACTTCAGTTGCCCACGCAGGGGTTCTTCAACATCAACATGAGCAAATGAAAATACTGAACCACCTGGCTCCCTTGTTGGCAGCACCGCTGCTCTTCTTACCAGTCCCTCTGACTGTGTTGTCCAGCTCTGCTAGTTCCCTTGGCTCTCTTAGCCTTTAGCACCCTGCTGCATAGCCCAATCCTGGCTTTTGGATAGGGGTTCTCCTGACACCCCAATAGGAGCCTACCTGACTCCTGGAATGAGACCTCCTGTCTGCTGGCTGGGGCACCTCTGACCCCTGGATGAGACCTCCTGTCTCTTGGCTCCTGGCTGGGGCACCTCCGACTCCTGGATGAGACCTCCTGTCTCTTGGCTCCTGGCTGGGGCTCCTCTTACCCCTAGATGGGACCTCTTGGCTCCTGGCTGGTGCACCTCTGACTCCTGGATGAGACCTCCTGTCTGTTGGCTCCTGGCTGGGGCTCCTCAGACTCCTGGGTGAAGCCTTCTGTCTCTTGGCTCCTGACTGGGGTACCTCTTACCCCTAGATGGACCTCTTGTCTCTTGGCTCCTGGCTAGGGCTACTTTAACTCCTGGGTGAAACCTTCTGTCTCCCACACTGGAAGCTGTCTCCAAACTGCGAGTTCTGAGCTATCCTTAGGCTTGAATATATAATGACCCTTCACACCTGTGTACTCACACAGATTGCAGGCACCTGGTAAAATCCAGACACAGGATTGAAAGTTCCGATCCAGAACTATAGAATCTGGAGAAAGCCAAAAACACAGCTTTCTCCTCTCAGAAAGAATAGTCTGGAACCTCACATTAACCCTTAATGTGAATTCTGTGTCATATTCTCCTCCATTTTTACAGTGACAGGGTCCCGCTCTGTCACAACACGCAGTACTTTTTTACAGCCTCTGGCACTGGCCCTGTGCTCACCGCTCATCACTGTCACTTGTACACAGGAGCCTGGCTTCTGTGTTTACAAGTGACAGTGCAGCTCTCCCAACCGCTCCCACAGAACCCACTCTGCCCCTGCCCTCAGGACCAGGACAAGAGAGAGGGAGCTGCCCCAAGTGCAGTGTGTTCATAGGTGGAATGGGTGCATCACATGGTAAGCTTCACCCTCCCTGCTCCCCATCTTGCTTGGTGCCCACAGCTGGCCAAGTAAATTGCAAATTGATGGTGCAGCTTTGAAGGGTAGGGCGTGCCAAAGATGAGGGCAACGGTGGGGTGGGGGGTGTGCAGAGGTTAGAGCTGAGGAGTGCAGAAGTGAGATATGGATGAAGGTGAAGAGGGAAGGAGCTGTGGAAAAGGGCTGAATCATGCATGCTGTGCGTAGCGCATTCCTGAACCCTGCAGCCTGTGCGTAGTTCTTACACCTACTCTGCGAAAACAAAAATGCGCCACTGCTTATTTCTTGTTCATTCTCTCTTTGTGCCATGTCTCTGCCATGTGAAACGTTTTTAGATTGTAACAAATGTTCACTTTTCAGTATAAAGAACAGCAGTGAACTGAAGGGTAGCTGAGACAGTGGTCTTTCCACTTTGCTTGTACGCAGCAGATTTAATTTTTCTTTCACAGCAAAATAAGGCAAGTTCATATGCGGAGCATTGCACTTTTAAACTTTAGTGGCAAAACACATGCACGTCACTGTCTGCTGGGTGGAGACGCTAGATCCAAGTAAAAGTATAATGTGGGTATTTATAACAACCTGTTATTTTTGCTGACTCCTGCACTCCACAATTATCCTGCAGACAGTACTTCTATGTCTATGAGATCTTTGCCTAACTGATCAGAAGCAGTTTATATGCTCTGGTAACAGCAGCCATACAGCGGCCAACTTCTAGAACACAAGGGTGGTATTTACCAATTCTGTCAAAGAGCTGGACAATGCTTATTAGGAGCAATTAGGCTGATTTATAATACTTAGGCATTGTCATTTATATATTCCTCCTGAAGGCCCTTTTCTCACGGGCATTCCTTTTGTGTATGTTTTCAAAAACGGATATCAATGCATCTCTATGCAAATGGATGATGCTCATCCATTTACATCCGCATCTGTCGACATCCATTTTTTTGGGATGGATCAAAGCCCTATTTTTGTTCCATTAAAAAAACAAAACGGACGAACAATGTATGTAAACGGACAAACGGTCTGTTTTTGCATCAGTTTTTGTATTGGTAGTGGATATAAAAAAACTGATGAATAAATTATGTAACCTGATGTAAACTATTCTCCTCTATAGACATGCAATCCGATCCGCCAGAAAGAGAAGGATGGGGGGGTCTATTCCCCTTTGGGAATGGGTGGGATGGCAGTCGGATGGAAACAGGCGGTCGTTTCCATTCAACCACCCATATAGGACAGTGGGCTGTGTCTGCTCTGCAGCAGCGGAGCAGACACGGATCTGTCATCCGCTTGCTCAGCAGGATCAGTGGAGAGATCCCCTGCTGAGCAAGCGGATCCGCTGACGGGTCCACTCCGTGTGAAAAGGGCCAAATTGATCCATTTTTTTTTTAAAAACACGGAACATCCATGTGAAAGGACCCTAGACTTTGACATGACTAGTGTATAAGAGATCTGCTAGTTAAGACCCCTACACCACCGTTCTCTCTCTCTCTCTCTCTCTCTCTCTCACATACCCCCTTAACATACCAATAAAGTAAAACCAAAACACCACTGGCGTAAAATGGCCAACACAGCCTTTTATTAACAATTCAACTTTAAGGGTTCATGTACACTGCAGCTGATAAACTCACTTTTAAGAGCTGTTCAGCATTTTTTTCAGCAGCCCCTGAACTCACCCTAATGTTTTCCTATGTGTCCATGTACAAATCTTCGTTTTTAGTCGTTTACAGGCATTTGAGTTTACAGTCGTTTTTTGAACGCAGAAAACTTGCGTTCAGCAGTCGATTTTATCAGCGTTTCAAACGCAAAACGCTTGTAAACGCAGCAAATCGCGTTTATAAGCATTTGCGTCTGAAAATTTTGTGTAACACTTCCAGTTCCTGATGCTGTCCCGAGCCTTTTTTCATCATGAAAAATGCATGCAAAGCGTTTTCAAGGTACTCATATGAAAAAAAACACTGAACACAGGATGTTCCTACCAAGCTTGTCACACATTGTAATGACCAATTCACACCTCAGACCTCTCCCACCCTTGGACACAAAAGATATGTTAAGGACCATTCACACCTCAAATTCCTCATGAAGACCCCCTGCCAGGTGGCCTTAATGACTCACTCCACCAGACACCTTTCCCACCCTTGGAAACAAAAGAAATGTTAATGAGCAACTTACACCTAAGCTAATCTCAACACATACTACTGTCTCTGCTTCTACTCTCTGTATTTTTCTGAAACAGTCTGAAATAGTTAATAATTTACCACTTTTCAGGGCATTTGGGAGGTTCTCCGGTGCTTATCTTTAAAAAAAAAAAAAAACGGTTCTAAGCGCAGACGCACATAAACGCGTTATGCAAACGCAGCTAAACAAACATTTTTTAGCCTTCTTTTTCCATCTTTCAGAAGTGTCCCATGTACATGGGGCCTAATACACAAAAAACATTCCTTAAAACAGAAACATACGGGAGAAGTTGTTGGTTTTCAAAGGCACCAAACAAAACCAATATTATAACTAGGCCTCCAGCAGCAACGCACCGGCTCGGAGATAAAAACATACCATCCGCAGTGCAGAACTTCCAGCTTCCAGTTAAACCTCGGTTAACCTCAATGCACCCAAGCACAACA